AGGTAAGAGCGAGACACCAGGACCACATGGACTGGCTTTTTATGTTGTCAGTAAACTTTGTGAAAAATACTTAGAACAAGGGTACAAAATTTACATGGACAATTTTTCTTCCTCAAAGCACCTATTCGAACATCTCCTGCAATGCAAAACGCTGGCGTGTGGAGCGACAAGAAAGTATCGCCGAGGCTTTCCCGGCGATCTGAAAGAAACAATATGGGAAAGGAAGGCTCAGCGGGAGGACATTCGGTGGGTCTGGGATGGAAACATCTCGTTTCTCCAGTGGAAAGACCACAAGGCAGTATATCTAATGAGTACAATCCATACAGCGAATGAATACGTTTTGGCAAAAAGACGTCAAAAACAGGGGAACCGATGGACTGAGAGAACAATAAGTAAGCCCTTGTTAGTGCCTGACTACAATGCAGGTATGTTAGGGGTAGACAAGTCTGAGCAGATAATTGGCACATACAATGTCCTTCGGAAATGCGTACGATTGTGGAAAACACTGTTCTTCCATTGTATCGATATAGCCTGCGTAAATAGCTTTATTCTTTTTCAAGAGCATCGCAAACAGCATCCCGACATTCCTGAGCTAAATTTGAGTTCCTGATTTGATCAGCTTTCATTCAGAGAAATGCTCATCCAGAAAATTTAGAAGCTAAATGACTGCCAACCTGTCAGAGTTTCTTATCTGCCACCCAACTGGATTCGGCACAAGCCGGAAAAGGTTGACACCCGAAGAAACTGCAAGTCGTGCTACGAGAACACCAAGAAGGAAGTGAAAACAAATGTACTTTGCAGCACCTGCGAAGCACATCTCTCACGCGCAACTGCTTCTCCGAGTGGCACATGCATCAAGGGCGCTGAGATAAGAGCCCGCTAAAGATATACTTTTTGTCTGAGAATGTTCAAATTTGGAAATATTGTACCTGATAGTATGGGCTACCATTTGTGTATATCAGTTTTGTTTTAATCTAAATGCTGTAATGTGTAATGCAATTTTACATCTTCTTTGTATGTTTTCTTTCTTTTCCCTCGAATTTCAGAAATAAATTATGAAACAATATGAGGTTGTTTGCTTTGAATTTTATTTGCATTAGAAAGACACGTAAATGGGCTACATTTTCACATATAGTAATCCATTGTACACCCAACAGTTTCTGATAAAAAAAATATCGTATAGACACACACTGAAAAGGCCAGTCTTCTACGGCAAGGTAAGAGTTAATAGGTATATCTGTTTACAGAATGGAACGAAAGCCTGCTGTGTGCCTGTAGTGTCGTAGCATGATGTACTTGCATTGTCAAATTGTTGCCTCGTAAAGAAAGAGCTTTATGTCGCTACAAATGGCAGTGCAAGGATCTAGAAACACTGAGCAATGGTATGTATTGCATTGAAGCTTATGCTTTAGTTGTTACCTCTTTTGACTTGCCTTAATTTAACTGCATTAAATGTGTTGAAATGAGAAACATTCTTCAAGACCAAGAACAACAAAGTATACTGCCACGTTACAGTAACCCAAAGGTCAAGGTTTTTTCCTCAGAGAGTGGCTGCATTGGTTTTAAAAGCATCTTCCCTAGTCTTGTTTCCCTCACGACTTTGGCTTTCCCTTTGACTGGTCCTGAAATGTCGGGCTCTCTAAAAACTTGGCTAGAGCTATTTCAACCTTTTAAATCTTCTATCTAGCCAGACAGATATCTGTTGAAATGTTTACATTTCGTCTGCTCCATATGCCATAAGTACCATATATCTGTCTATTGTTTTGGGGTGCATTGAGCGCATCTCGAAGGGCATACATTCGATGGTTCTTTGCGTTTGCTTACGTCATCAGTATCCGTCCTTATTTTTTCAGTTCCGTAGTCATGGCGACCGAAATCGAGCTTTCTGAAGTCCAAAACTAACCGGGTTTCTCTTAGAGCGGTCAATTCCATTGTATAGCTGTACAAAACAGGGCACAGTATTTCACAGATTTCGTTTCTAATGAAGGACTGCTGGTGTATTTCCATTGTCTCATTTTGTGAGCCATTTCACCCTGAATTCAAGACTGTCTTAGCGTAACTTTTTTTGTACGTTGTGCAAGTATTGATTGGTGCTAGAAATTACCGATGTTCAGGCTGACTCCACAGGCAACTTTCTTAAATGTTGCTTTCTTCAGGCGTGCCTCTGAACAATAGTTTTCATCCAGCTGAAGCTGTCGTACTGTACACACAAAGAGCACTCTTTGTGTGTCGTCTTCTTGTTCCCGTCTACATGCGCTTACTGTCCTTATAATGTCGCTGTACCAAGTAGCTCTTACTTAGCCTCTGATTCAGCAAATATCTTCCCTCCAAAGAATTATGTTCGACAGATATTGCATCTATGTATGGCCGCTTATACAGTTGCATGTTGTATTTTATCTATTGGCATTATGCAGACCACGTAATTAAGCCATGTAACGAAAGTTTCCGGTTATTCTCTGAAGTGGGGCATCAGAAAAAAATGGCCAATTTTTTGAAAAGCAGGCTGTCACGTGCAACAGACATCTATAGGACCTAAGCACATGCGAAAATTTAATTGAAATGCATTATTTGTCTTAATTCATATTAATTGTAGCATTCATTTACATTCCCAATGGACATGCCTATTATAATATTTAGAATGTGTTATTACAAAATGTAGCTAGAACAAATGCATTAATTATTACAAGTTCTCGGCTGCTTCAGATATCAAGTTCAGGTACCACTGCCATGCATTTTGTGACAGGCAAAGTAAGGATGTATGTATTTTATAAACCTGTTCTCGAGCAAATAAAAGGCAATACATATGCATTCAGTAGGGAGTTTTCGAGTAGCATGGGTTAGTGTTTCATGCCTCTGTGCATGCCGTTGTACGCTAACCGCTCGTGGACTCCCTGATAAGAAATGGAAACTAGCGGGCGAAGCCGTGACCGCAACAAACGCTAACTTAACGTACGCTGTTTGACAACTCCCTAGTGGCATATGTGAGATTCACAAGTGGCACTGCTTAGTGTAGCGGTGCACATGCAATGTTATTTTGTGTGGAACAGCGTTACAAAGCCCTCGAGTCATTAAGAGTTCTCAATGTGCTCAGTCATCCCTTTAAAGCATGGTTTCTGAAACTGGGTTGTGTGAAAGACATCTTGGTGTTCTGCAAGCGGCCAGCATGATTGAAACTCACTCCCGTTTTACCCACGTTGGCAACTAATTTAGTTTTTTTACAAAACAAAGTTGGGGGGTTAGGGATTGCACAGCTCTCTGGAAAAGCAATTGGGGTTCCCGGAGGTCAGAAAGTTTAAGTTTAGTTGGGCTCAAGGTCAGCCTCTTCAATATGTCAAAATTGTTGCCCAACAGTGCGCATTGCTAATTTTCCAACACTTTTGTTGAAGCAGTTAGGAAATCTGATATCTTTTTGCTAATTATTTGCCTAGCAAATCTGATTGGAGTTGCTGGATTTGTTCACTACATGTTTTCCTGTCGCCGCATGCCGTTTCTAGCTTCTTCCTTACCTTACCAGCTGCTTTGATTACTTTGAAATGGTAGTAGTGGAATGTACCGAGATACATGCATGTGATTATTTCTCAGAAAATTTGTACAATATCCCATTGCACCTCACATATTCAACACGTCGGCTTCGAACGGTCTAATTGTCTGCTAACTCATCATTGCAAAGTAGGACCTTGCAGGGCTAATTTTTGCAGTATTCTGACATATTACCAAGAGAGCTTTAACAAGGCATATCGACTATACGCTTTCTATGCTGCAGTTTTCACTTCCCAGTGCTTTCATTACGTGTGCTTTCAGTAACCTGCCCATTGCCATGGACAAAAAAAAAATGAGAGAGAGAGACAGAAAAGGTAAAGCTCACTTGATGCAATTGGAGAAGATGCGAAATTCTCAGCATTGTTCATAGTCTGAAAGGCAAACAAATGAGAGAGTAAGTTTTATATATGAATTTTCTTTCTAGACATGCTGTTAAATAAAGCTAGAACAGATTTATTGCTGCTTAAAATTTGACGACTTGACACGTGACAGAGGATTTTAAACACATGAGCAGTGTGCAGCATTTAGACTGTGGTTGAGCCAGCGTTTTTGCAGTAAATTAACTAAGAGCATCAATTACACGCCTGTCCTGCAATGAAGTGCCACAATAAAAAAAAACTTCATTCACATTAATGGAGCACCACTTGAAATGAATGTTGACAACTTATCCCCAATTAAAGTCAGCTCACAAAATGAATTGCTACTTATTCGTTAGAGTTCTTTCACCCCATGTGAAACAGGAACACGTCCAAACTTAACTCTCTTTCCTTGTGATTAAGAACTTGTCCTCTACACATATGGCACTTAGTGTTAGCAACAAAGTTGTTCAATTGTCACCATGGTGTTGTCGATTTGGACCTTTGCCTTTTCATATCTGTTAATGTTTTTCTTATAACAGAAGCAACGAAATGAATTGTCGCTTATATGAATGCTTATAAAACTAAATATATCTTGACATGGGTGCTCTTGATTACATAGGAGTGGCAGCTTGGTCAACATGTCTTGCTGCTTTAACCTGTAGATCATGTACAGCCCATTCCAAGCATTCTTTGAAGATACATGATCTCTAGTACTTGGGAAGTGGAACTAACTTGCCAATACCTTGTTTTAAGATGCTTGAATGTTTACCACCAATGTAGAATAACGAAAGCCCAGCTAGTTGTCAGGTAGTCACGAACACAAGAGAGGAGTCAAGGCACCGCAAACAGCATTTGTGGTGCTTCTCTCGTTTCCGTGTTCAGCACGCCCAGTCTTTTCAACATAATTGTAGTAGCATTCGAAGTTAATGGTGTAGAAAATAAACTGCTGTATTGCAATTTTAAATTACAATCTGTTGTTACTTACCTGGAAACTTCATTCGCTTTTTGTAAATACACCACAGACACTTGTGTTTATTAAAGATGGCAAGGTGAAGTTTATCACCTTAGCAGCACCATTAAATAAGTACAGTACAAAAGGAGTAAACAATAAATTGTTCCTTTATTGTGGTGCTTCAAAAAACAGTTTTATGTACAAGGAATAAATTAGGTGACTATGAAGACATGATGTATGTGGCTATGAGGGATGAGTGACTAGGTTACAGTAATTTGTTTCAGTCCACTTCCTCAACAGTGGGCCCTGCATGTTGTCCTGAAGAGGTGTGCTTAGGGCCCTGTCCCTGATGTAGCTTGCTCATGATGGGCATGCAGGCTTGTTGCAGTTCCTTGAGCCGATGTTCATACTCGTCCTTTTCAGCCAGGCTGTTGGCGTCAATCCACGAAATGGTCTCGCGACACTTGGAGAGCACAGTGTCTTTGTCTGTGGAGGACAGTTTATCACCAGCTTCTTCAGCTGCTTGCTTGACTCCGTATACATAAGTCTCCAGAGAGTTTCTGGCAGCAACCCTCTCGCGCTGGGCATCGTCTTCCTGCTTGAACTTCTCGGCTTCGGCAAGCATGCGCTCGATGTCCTCCTTGGAGAGACGCCCCTTGTCATTGGTGATGCGAATGCTTTCCTGCTTGCCCGTGCTGTTGTCTCTAGCAGAGACCTGCAGGATACCATTGGCGTCCATGTCGAAGGTCACTTCGATCTGGGGAACGCCACGAGGCGCCGGTGGGATGCCGTTCAGGTTAAACGTTCCCAGGAGGTGGTTGTCTTTGGTGAGGGCGCGCTCGCCTTCGAAGACCTGGATGGTGACCGCGGGCTGGTTGTCCGAGTATGTCGTAAAGGTCTTCGACGTCTTGCAAGGGATGCGAGTGTTCCGCTCCACGATGCGGGTCATGACACCACCAGCAGTCTCAATACCCAGTGACAGAGGAGCCACATCCACCAGCAGTACGTCACGAATGGCTTCACTAGAGTCGCCGCTCAGGACGGCTGCCTGAACTGCAGCTCCGTAAGCGACCGCTTCGTCCGGGTTGATGCCCATAGACAACTCCTTGCCGTTGAAAAAGTCTCGGAGTAGCTTCTGCACTTTGGGGATGCGCGTAGATCCGCCCACCAAGACGACGTCATGAATCTGAGACTTGTCCATCTTGGCATCTTGAAGAGCACGCTCCACTGGTTCCAATGTGCTTCGGAACAGGTCTATGCAAAGCTCTTCAAATCGAGCGCGGGTGAGCTTGCTGTAGAAGTCGATGCCTTCGAACAGAGCGTCTATCTCGATGCTCGCCTCGGTCGAGCTGGACAGGGTCCTCTTGGCACGCTCGCAGGCGGTACGCAGTCGCCGTATCGCCCTCGGGTTCTTTCTCAGGTCCTTGCGGTGTTTGCGTTGGAACTCTTGCACGAAGTGCTCGACCATTCGGTTGTCGAAGTCCTCGCCTCCCAGGTGGGTGTCGCCCGCCGTGGATCGGACCTCGAACATGGAACCCTCGTCGATGGTCAGCACCGAGACGTCGAAGGTGCCGCCTCCGAGGTCGAAGATGAGGACGTTCTTCTCGCCTCGCAGGTTCTTGTCCAGTCCGTAGGCGAGAGCAGCTGCGGTCGGCTCGTTGATGATGCGCAGCACGTTGAGACCCGCAATGGCACCGGCGTCCTTGGTGGCTTGCCTCTGAGAGTCGTTGAAGTAAGCGGGCACCGTGATGACAGCATCGCTCACTTGTTTTCCCAAGTACGCCTCGGCGATCTCCTTCATCTTAGTGAGAACCATGGCGCTGATCTCTTCCGGGTTGAAGCGCTTGCGCTCTCCCTTGAACTCGACGCTGATCTTGGGCTTGCCGCCGTCGTTCTCCACTTTGAAGGGCCAGTGCTTAATGTCGTCCTGGATCTTGGGGTCATCGTAGCGGCGCCCAATCAACCTCTTGGCGTCGAACACGGTGTTCTCCGGGTTCATGGCCGTCTGCGCCTTGGCAGCATCGCCGATCAGCCGCTCGGTATCCGTGAAGGCTACGTAGCTCGGCGTCGTGCGATTGCCCTGGTCGTTGGCGATGATCTCAACTCGGCCATGCTGAAAGACACCCACGCAGGAGTACGTTGTGCCGAGGTCGATGCCGATAGCCGGCGCGTCAGACTTCCTACCAGGCATGGCGATTGTGTAGCGTTAGCTTGCGTTCGCTCAGAACAAATGCTCAAAACTGAGAGCAGTGAATGATCTGGTGTTCCTCGACCGCGGCGCGCGATTTATACCGTTCGCGCGCTTTTGTAGAAACGCCTCGAAGCTTCGAGAGCAGCGTCAACCAATAGAAGTGAAGTATGGCGGTGACGTCAGCGGAGCAAGTCCGCGATTGGTCTCCGGTGTATGGAAGCGTCGAGAAAGCTCTCGTGCCGTCTGCTAGCTGTGATTCATCTTCCCGCTTACCGAAACGTAGTTTCTTTCGCGTGTATTTCTCGATCTCCTTTGCGTGCTCAGTGATTGAAAAAAAGCTAAACAAGCTGCCTTTTGAGAGCTAGGAGAACTGATTCATGCGAGAGGGATCTCAGACACGATTCCGTATGGTGACTTTCACGATGTTTAGTCGGCGATCGATCACAGAAAGCGATGGTTGACGAAGTCATTTAAATCGAACCATTTTGGGTCGCACTTTTGCGAGACGAGCGCTGGCTTTCGATGAATCCTAGTGAAAAGTTTGGTCGTCGCCTTGAGTGAATAATAGCAAGAAGATTGGTAGCAGTACTTCCGATCGCCGACGTCTACACGTACGACTGCGGCGCCGAAATGAAACTTATGTTCGTGAACCTGGATCGGGTGGTTTCATCTCTGCGTTGCGCCTTGTGAGGCGCTAACTAGCACGGAATTTGTGCTGAAATAAAGTGAAGCGACCGTTTCGTTTCTCGCTTTTGTGCATCACGATCCGGGTTTGCTTTATTTTTTACTCTTTTATTCTAATGTCAACCGGTATACGCGTCTCACACGGTACTTGCACCAGCGCTTTCAACCACAGCTGAAAATAATTGCTGTTCGCGTTTTACCAAGGAGTTGTGGCTCACATACGCCGAACGTGTGACTGCAAATTAAGTAGATTGTCAGCAACCATTAGGAACATGCGTGTAGTCGCAACGGCGGATATTCAACTGTTTACACAGTTCTTTAGTGTGAAGCCTGCCTTCGCAACGCTGCCAGGGGGGGGGGGGGGGGGTGGCGATTTTCATTTTACAGATATTCACACATATATGCACACGACTACACTTGCATACAAGATGGTTGCTCCCTTTTCGCCCCCCCCCCCCCCCAAAAAAAAAAAAAATCACTGGCTATGCCACTGCATCCTAGCGATAGTGTCTAGGACAGCTGTTGTGGTTGTGTATTGGCATTGTAAAAGGCAACATTCTTACATGCTGGCTTTGATGCAACGCTGAGTCATGACTGCAGGATGCATATGCTGACTGCCATTGAATATGCTTATGACCACATTTGATAAAGTATGAGCACACTGCCCCAGCAGTGCAGAGTGTTTCTGGAAACTTCTTGAGACATGCAGCTTGAAAATACACATATGCATTGAGAGGATTGTTTTTTATGGCCTCCCTTGTATGTGCATGATCATATGTGCCTTCACTTGCAAAACAAAATAACAAGACTTTTTTTTTTTCTTCAGACATTGCTTGTGGCTGTTATATGTCAAGCACAAACGGCAGGTTTGCCTCTGAAACCCTCGTGGCACATATGCTAATATTTATGGAATGAACTAAATACTTAAAAACTAAAAGGAACTGAATAAAAATTTCCAATTAAAAAGAACAGGCATGATCACTTTACTTATGCTTGCTTTTAAAATACAGAAAGTTATTCGGCCAGTGGAACATCAACACCTCGCATGCGTTTAAAAGACTTACACATTCCTAGGGTTGTTGAAAGTACGTCAATGATCAGTCAACTGATTAATTCAACGAATGAATCGTTTCATGATTGATGTTGCTGAAACTGCATTTGGCACCTATTGTGTTCTGAAAGGGCCTCTTTCATTAGAAATGAGCCGTTGAATCAGCTACTGCATCGGAATGATTTCAAACAGAAGTGGCTGTGTTTGACCTGCGTACCACATGCACAAATGATGCTTAGAATTTCGTAACTGTCGCTATTCATCGCAGCAGCAGTAACATTATGACTTACATTTCGTGCATCAGTAAGGACCCCTTCTAGAAATTGTTGCTTACAAAGCTTTTTAGTCGCTTGGTCACAGTGCTCAGATGTTGACCAGGAGGTCGCGAGTTCGATCTCAGCCATGGCAGTCAGATTTCGATCAAGGCAGAATGCTAGAGGCTTGCATACCGTTCAGTATGTCAGAGCACGTTTAACAACGCCGGGTGGTCGAAATTTACAGAGCCCTATATTAGGTCAGTGCCTTAACATCATAAGGTGGTTTTGGCAAATAGAACACCAGGTGTTATTATCAGAAGTGAGTTGCAAGTTTGTTCAAATCTTCCACTGTTATTAGGTATGCAGGTGTCTTCAACGTGCGATGTTCCTGAAGTCCTTCAGCATTTGTCTTGTGTGACTGGCAGTTGCTTTTCATCAGATGTGTCATCCCAGGAGTCGGAAGTTTCACCGTCCACTTCATGTTTGAACTTCTTTTAGTGCACTACGAAAGACGAGGGCAAGAAAGCTAGAAACGCACGTCTTTTTAAAAAGAATGGATGCGTACCAACTCAGCCAGCTGCCAGTTTTACCGTCACTTCAACTTGAAACTTTGGGACCGACTTGGTTCTCAAAGTGAAAATGTATGGGACGTTGTCTGAACACAAGAGCTTCTATACTATACGGTTATTACAGTGGCATTCGGTATGCAGGTCGAATGTTTGTGCATGTTTGTGGTGTGTCTTTGCTTGTGAGTGCTGTGTTTTTAAATGCTTTGTGCATCATGTCTTAAACCCAATACCTGTCATATGATGCCAAGAGATAACACAAGCAGATATTTTCGGCTTTTTTTTTTAAAGAAACAGCCCTGAATCTCCAGTTTCTTCATTTCGGCTTCTGAAATCACTGAGCACTGTGACAGACACTTCAATGTGAGAATTTCACTTGGCTCAGTACATGTCATGCTCAAGCAATGTAAGAAATAAGTGTCAGTGTTCTTTTTGCACTAAAAACTGCACACATGCCACAACAGCTATATATGCAAGGACGCAAAGCCTCAGGTCATGATTCAAAATGCAGCATGCAATGCAGTGATGTGGCTGCTGACATAGTATGACTGTCAATTTTTCAGCGTCTCACCTGATGTTGGTGTGAGCAGTGAGCAATCACTTGAAACACGCTTTCGAGTCATCCCCCTTTTTCGGAGGGTGGTACTCTTCAATAGTAGAGGAGTTGTGCACATTTACGCTTCAATTATTTGCAATCCCACAAATCACCAGCAACTCAAATGAGCGATGAAAAGAGTGATGAGTAAAATCATTCCGTAACAACTATCATTGCAGAAAACTGGGGATCCTAGCCACCTGTCAATATATTCGCATCTGTTGCTGTTGGCTCCATAAATCAGGCACGTAGCCAAGGGGCCACCCTAGGGGCCAGGACCTCCCACCGAAGTTCAGATGGTTTTACCGAGAATAAACAACAAAAACGTGGGTTTTTCAAGGCCTTCAACAGGTTCCCCCTACCCCGAAAAAACTTTCTGACTACGGGCCTCTCAATAATGTAACAGGGCCTGGGGAATCAATTGAAGGCTCGTTTCCTTGTGTCAGGCAGAGCTAAATGAGAGTAACAAACAGTGCTAAGGAAGGTAGAGGGGACATAGCAGGTGCTACTTGGCATGCTTTTGAATGTATAGTGTGTAGTAATGACATAAATGGGAAGAAATTAAAGGCGAATAAAAAATGAACTTTCCGCACGTACACAGACCCTATAACCTATGAATAACATATCTGAGTGCTCTACCGACAGATGCTCCATTAGTAACAGATTCACCCAGGCGGTGTCAAACCAGGTAGGCCACACCAAAATCTGGATATAATATGGTTTCAGCGACCACATACATGTATCACTTTCGAGTGATGAAATTTGCATAATGCATGTTCTCGTCATATCTTGAAGGCAGTTATTTCTTTATTGTGTAATGGCAGTGGTGTAAAACATGCTTGACCTTTTAAAAGACATGTCCAAGGGCAGCAGTGGTTGACACACAAACTCAACAGTCCAGTGACTTAAGTACTTTCTTGTGTTCTCTGATCCTTCAACAGGTGATCATCAGCTAATTAAAGATTTCGATATAGTGCATCTTGTACCAGTTCGTTACATCTAAAGTCTTATTTAAAATTTACGCCGTTTTGTTCTGTGCCACTGGAAGATGTCCCTAGCCACCCCCAGAGAAGTGACAAGCATCAACTACGTTTGTTAAGTCGAGCATTGTGACTGTGTGATTACTTTGAAAAAAAGAAAAAAAAGAGAGAGAATAAAGACTACCCTGAGAGAGAGAGAAATAAACAGCTTTATTTCATTATTTTTAAAGTGTCGTCTTTTGGGTGGTCTCCCTCTTCCAGGAAATTGTAGCAAGCCATGAGAATAAAATTCTGCTTTGCACAGCAGTTACAACAGCCCCCCATTAGGGGGTCCTGTCAGTAACTACTCAGGATCGATTAAAGTTCATTTTATGTCTGTCTGTGTTCCATCAGGAAACGCTATGGTGACTTGCTCTTGGTTAGTGACACATGTGTCGCTGGCCTCAGCAACGTCTTTTGTTGACCTTCCTCAATGTGAATCAAGCCTTGAGTGGCCTCAGCATAAAGTTTGAGGTACTGTCCTAACTTAGGCTACATTTCGGGCTGTGCACCGAGGTATGTAACTCGGACTTGGCAGACAAAGTTTATTCTCTATTGTTCTTATTTATTGTTTCATTATATGACATTATGAATTGCCAATGAAACAACCATCATCCCATGGTGTTTCTGTTGATCAAATGGGCTTGATGTGGTTTGTAAAGCACTGTTGCAATATTTAAAAAAATGTGAATTGTTATAAAAATGCCTTTAGAAACAGTGGAGACCATTTGATTAGTTCAACTTGCTTTAATCACATAAAATGACTATCTTTGTGTTCATGTACCTTGTTATCGAATGCTCCATTGTGCTAACATATTCTGTAACTTTACTTCAGGCTCATCAACATTTCATGCAATGTTTCTAGCCTAGAGATCTAGTACTCAGTATTAAATTGACTGGAGCC